TGTGTGTGTGTGTGTGTGTGTGTGTGTGAGAGAGAGAGAGAGAGAGAGAGAGAAATTGGCATAGATGTTTGTGGTGCAGCTTCACTCTGCTGGATCACATTCATGTCACTGCTGTGGTCTGCAGTTGAGCTCTGTATTTCGATTGTGCCTGTCCCCCCACCCTGCAGTGTGGCCCCTTTGTTGCATGTGATGTGTGAAATGCCCTCCCCCACCCTCTCCACAAAAAGCTTATGGATCAACATACAAACCGCTTGAGGGGTGGGCTGTTAAATTACATTCATGTGTTTAGCCTTTTTCCAAAGTCCTCTGCGGGACTGTGAAAAACAGCCTGGGGATTATGTCTGTATAAAAGAAAACTAGGTTTTAAAATGGAAAAATATAGCTTATATGCTGTTATATCACAGGAAAATTTAATTGTGTTCCTGAAGTACTTAATTACAATATCATATTAAATAAATGTTATAAAATTGCATTTGTTGTTTTAAAAACTGCTTCATTTATGCAAATAAATGCTAATATTGTATAAAAGAATCAGAGGGTTATTGGGGCATACTGATTTAATATGTACAGTGGTGCCTGCAGTTCATGAACGCTGTGGTCTACGAACAATTTGGTTTTGACCAAAAATTTTGTGGAAAAAAATACATTTGTTCACATGCAAAATTTGGTCGACGAACAGATTCCCCGACCAGACTCCTTTTTTTTATACTAATGTAGCACCGGTGGTGCGCATGTCCCAGCATGTCCCAGCATGTCCCAGCATGCAACTGTAAATAGACGAACCACAACAGGCACCCAACAAGCACCGAACCGAAATACTACACACAAGGTTGTCAGACACCAAACTGCAAGATGCACACACGGTGGAAGATTTACACACGCTAAATACACACGAGGAACCGATCGGATCGGATATACACAAGACATGGGCAAGCACACGCGCGACAGTAGGGAAACGCAACTATTAACATTAACAACAACACCACAATGGTTAAGGACTGTTAATAAAGAGCGTGATTTCCCCGGCAAGCAAGTCTCCATGTCTCTCTGCTCCCGTGATGCCTCGGTCCGAGGTACTATAAAAACCAGAAAATTATTTAACAAAAATTATTACATGGTAGGCTTGTGAACGAATGAATCAAATTTCAGTGCTTTCTTATGGGGAAAAATTGCCTTGGTCTGTGTACAAATTGGTTCACGACCACTTTCCTGGAACGGGTTATGCTTGTGAACCGCAGGCACCACTGTAGAACATTATTTAAGGAGGTGCTGCCCAACATGGGCATTGTTGTGGTAATGCTGTACTGGGATGTGGCACTGGTTTCCAGGTGTGGTACTGGTCCCACTGTCCACACAGTGCCCCCATCATGTGCCTATGCTTAGGCAGGTCGGAATGTACGTCGTACCTCTTTAGCCTGATTGAATTCGTTTTGGCTACAGTTACCAGGAATGCATCAGTACATTGTGATGTGTGATAGTAATAATAATGAATAATTTATACAATATGCACTTTTTCCTTCAGATGATCCATGCACAGAACGCAGCTATCTCCCTGCATTTCGACACGTCAGATGATGGTGACACAGCTAGCTCCGCTTGGTTTCATTTTCAGGCCACGTCAACTCGGGTACAGATAATTTACAGTGGAAAGCCGTAAGTTGACGGCACTGCTCTGTTCTTGCTGGCAGTGGAAAAGCTCCAACTGTGGGCCCCATCTCTGTCACCTGCTCCTGTCCAGCACACGTGTACGTCGATAGGCTTGGTGTTGGTAAGGGAGGTGTTCTAAGCGCTGGGTGCTTGAGTAGCAGCAGGAGCAGACGGGGAGATGGAGATTAGTGTCTGAACGTCCCAGATGGGTCGATAACATCGAACACCTGACAGGGGGCCCCGTACCGCGTAAAGCCATAAAACTTAGCTGTTAGTTCTCGCTGGTGCCATGTTTGCCTGGCGGGTAACACAGGGAGTCTAGGAGCTGATTAGACGGGTCCCCATGGCAACCTGTAATTCAACCCCACTGCCCCTGTCAATAATGCTGCAAGTTTGGCGTGATGTGTGAATGGTTCGCATGTGAGGCTTTAATCGCAGTATCAGGAAGGGAAGCCAACAAGCGTGCCTGTTGTACCTTGAACGCTAAAAGAACAGTGATGACTCTTCACCTTGGGTCACTTTGGTCCCCATACACTCCATTGAATACTGAAGTCCTGCAATTCCCCAGTTTCTGCAGTGATGCCTGTCATTCACAGGTGGGAGTCCTTCTGTTTTGTCCGGTGTATCTCGAGCATTTAGCTCTGACTTCTTGCAGCTAACATTTTGGTGTTTCCAAAGACAGACTGGAGAACGTGGCAAGGGGCTGATCGCATCTTGTCCAGGTGGTAGTTCAATTTTAAAATATAGATCATTGAAACTATTTTCCCTAGATGTGAAGGTGTGGACAACTGTTTTTTCCTGGATAAAGGAGGATAAAATAGCAGTTGGAGCCAGTTTGACATTTGCATTTAAATAGCCTCTTAAAAGTGCACCATAGATAATTTGCTGCATGTGCGCATTTTCATTGGTTACTCTTTTCAGAATAAAATCTAAGCCAAAAGCTCTGGTAGTGAGAGAACTTTTAATATAATCAGCCCACAGATAAATTTAAGTTTCATTTTTGTACGTATTGTAGATAACGGAAAGCTAAATGCCATTAGTAATGCAATTTATCGCAAAAATGTATTAGAACTTTAAGGAAAATGTTGCTTCACTGGAAAACACAAATGTGTATTGTTTTGTTAAATAATATTTATTGGTCCCAGTACTTTGGAATGGCCCTTGGGCCAAGTTTAAATGCTCTTCCTAATAGGTGATGAAACTTTAGAGGACAGATAACCTCCTCGGGGGGGCAGGATGTGGCTTCCCAGAAGACAGATGTGGAATGATTGTTCTTCATTTAAAAACCAGGCCAGTTTCATGTCACAAAATGCATCCTGTGCATTTAAGCATCAATGTTGTTGTTTGTCCGAGTTCTTGTGAAACGTGTAGCTGTTCCCCTGTTGTTTAAAGCACTCTTTCTCAGTGCCTGTTGTAGGCACTTCTGGTGCCTGCGGGCTCATACTTAATTCTATAATGTGGAGTTGGGCCTGACTGCTCTCAGCCTGATATTAAATTTAACTCGTGAACATTCACGCAATATTCTCAGAAACTCCATTGTAAGAGAGACGTCCTTTAAATCCTTCAGTAGCGGTCCATGATTTTCACACGCAAAATCCACAACGTGTAATTCCCAAAGTGGAAGGATGGTTTTCTCAGCAGCCCTTGCTTGTGCTTTGATCAGATGCCGTTACGTGAAAATTTGTCCACCAGGTGCAAGTTTTGCGTGTGCAGATTAGAGGCAGCGTAACAGTGACTGACTTCATCAGAATGCAGTCTCTTAAACCCAACTGTGAAATAGACCGTTAAAACAGATCACTTGTAATCAAGCTGTCAGATTGCTGTGGGTCCTTAAGACTGCCAATGTCGTACATAAAGCCAACGCAAAAATAAATCGCAACATCTTGGCGTTAAAGCATTTCCTGCGGCTTCTTGAGTCTTTTGGGGGCGGGATCCACTATGTCGGCAACCTGTTTTCTCTTGGGTAAGGTGGCTTGAGAATTGGGTGGGTGGGTGATGTGTTCCATATTGTCTGGCAGCACATTTCAGTACCCTGCCCTGTTTTGCTGACTGACTTAATCTGTGTCTTTTGTTTTGTTTTTCTGTTTTCCAGTTGCTTGGAGCTGCATTCTTGGGCATCGGACTCTGGGCATGGGCAGAAAAGGCAAGTACACAGCCGAGAAATTAAAAACATGACGTGCCATGCTACGGATGCCGACGATCATTGTTTAGCCGGCAGCCATAGCAACACGCAGACTTATTTACGGGAGATACGGGGATGAGAGCGTTTGGTGCCAGTCATAGAAGAGATATGGCAAGGAGACAGGAAGCAATTTACCGCAGTTCTTAATGACTCCTTATTGCCCACTGAGGAAATTATTAGGTCTCCTTGTGTATAAGCCTGCCAAAAAACGAATGGATTGTGGATGAGAAAAGCAGAGATGCTTAAAAACGGCTTCAAAATATTTGCCTGTCTTATGATTTGTGTTCTTATTGTCAAATTTTGAGTGTTAACATCTTAATGGAATAAAGCAGGGTTCTTCAAGTCTGGACCTCGATTCCAAATCCAGGCCTTGTTTTCAGTTCTCCCAGGTAGTTAGTTTAATAATTACTGATTCTGATTGGTCAGAGGCTTCACACCTGACTGACAGGTAAAGGAAGGCTGGAGGACCAGCAGTGCTCGGCCCTCGAGGACCGTGATTTGAATAACCCTGGAATAAAGGTTTAAATACTGAAAATGGAAGTCACCCCAGGACTCGTATGGCCCTGTCCATTTTCATGTGATTATCGTGTTGTCTTTATGCTACTATAATCTGATTTGTCAGGTGAGTTATTCATGTCTCCAGTTAAGAGCCTGACATTTTTACATTGGGAATGTGCCTGTGACCTTTTTTTGACCTTTGAAACACAAAGGTCGGCCACATCATTCTTCGTGAAGTCATACTCGGGCTCGACTGAGCTTCAGTTTAGGTTTAATGCAGTTTAATATTCCTATTATGATATTAATGCTAGTTGCTTCACAAATATATATATTAAAAGAAAAAAATTCTAACGTCTAATCTTGAAGTGAAAAATAAGATTTTACTCTTCAAATCTTCCTCGGCTGACACTTAGAATGTGATGTTTATTTAATTTGTCCTCTTTCGCAGGGAGTGTTGTCAAACATTTCATCCATAACGGACATGGGGGGGTTTGATCCTGTGTGGCTGTTCATTGTGGTGGGGGCGGTGATGTTCATTCTGGGCTTTGCTGGGTGCATCGGCGCCCTGAGAGAAAACACAGTCCTGCTGAAATTTGTGAGTTAAAATTTTTTTCTTATGCCAGCGTGTATGATGGGTGGTTTGATTCTCTGGGGGGGTTGTTTGGATTGTTTGTCGTCTCCCTTTCTATATTTACCCGTTTCTTCCCGTGTAGCAAAGATCTTCGGGTTTGGAGAATTAGACCCAGTTTTTTAGATATGCGTTTATACTTGGTGATAATTTAATTTGAAAATTGTTACCCAATTTCAGTGTTGCGTTTTCCGACATCAAGCCTTATGTGCAACGTAATTTTCACTGAGATGTTTAAGAAAAACATAGCTAAATCCATGATAAACTATAAATTGTTTTTTTCCTAATGAGCAGAAAGAATCTGCTCATTAGGAAAAAAACAATTTATAGTTTATCATGGATTTAGCTATGATTCCCTCCTTTATCGTGCAGCCTCTAATTTTTGAATGTAAGCTTTCTCAATCTTGATATGAAGTTTCTCCTTCCAAAAAAAAAAACCTCTCTAATCAGCTGCCCTTTCCCCCGCATGTTGCTGTGTATGTGACCTCTTCAGTGCTCCAAAGCTGCGTAAATGTGGCCTTTTTCCTCTTGATGATTCTTGAGTAACTCCAGTCCAGTCTTGTACAATGAAGGCCTTTTTCTCAATTATCCATTGATTAATTCAGGGCTTCTGTGCACTGGGCTTTCATGGGAATAAATGGCTTGGGCCAGAAAAATCTTGATGACCAGAGTGTTTGACGTTGCCATTATTGTAAAAAGTATTTACCGTAAATGTCTTACTAATCAAACCAAGGGAAAGTGAACCTCCTTCCGATGTTAATCTGCAGATCAATGCAAATTCATTCATTATTAAGGAGAAAGCTTCTGGCTTTAGCTTAGCTCTTTATGTGAAATCTTTCTTTCATTTAAGTGCTCCGTGAGGGAGTTGCAATATTTTGTAAGTCAGGGATAAACCACGATGAGGTGTGTGGTTATGCAAAATAATCGATGACTGCTTGGTGTAATATGGCCCTCTGCTTTGTGCAACTGCACACCTCATCATAGTTAATCTCTTACTCTTCTCACGGCTAGATGTAATGCATTTTTCTTCTTTTAGCTATTTTCTATCATTTTCATTCCTGTTGTTCTTTAACTGTAATACTTGTGTGTAGTTTATGCTTTGCGATTACATTTTGTTTGTTTGTTTGTTGTCTTCAAATGTGCTCTATAAATAAATTTTACTTACCGGTATTTCTTACTAATGAGCAAAAATAATAAATTAACCATGACTAGTTTGTTCTTTCAGATGAAAATTATTTCAATTAGCATTTTTGTAATGTTCCAATATACTCCCTATAAATATAGTCCCTATAAGGATAGATCGTCTTGTCAGGCTACTTACTGGAAGCGACAAATATGTTAAGCTACCACAGAAACCGTCAACAAATCGGCGCTTGCGTTTTGAAAACTAAGGAAAACTTTTTTTTAGTCATGAGTAAAAAGTCACACCGGTTTTTATATTAGCATGTTTAATAGCATTGAAACACATTAATATAGAATATATTAGGCTGCTTAAACTACCTGTGCGAAATTAATCAAAACCCATGTGACAATTCTGGACCAATAAGAAAATAGTATTTACCAAAGCTCTGGAATAGTCACTTTTATTGTTGCATACTTAAGTAATAAGTAATTTGCATAATAAACATTATACTATGGTATTTAACAGGGCTAAACTGTAGCTAGTTCTGTGGTCTCTGTTGTCCTTGTATTGGTCTGTAATGTCATGGTTTTTATTGTGCTGGGCTGCCTTTTAAAATGTACATAATGTATAATGCAGAACCTCCTTTATCTCTCCAGTTTTCTGTATTTTTAGGGCTTATTTTTTTCCTGGAGCTGACTGCTGGGATCCTAGCATTTGTTTTCAAGGACTGGATTAAAGAACAGCTTAATTTTTTCATTAACAACAACGTCAAAGCGTATCGTGATGATATTGACCTCCAGAACCTCATAGACTTCGCCCAAGAATATGTGAGTTGACAATTAGGTTTTGTAGCTCTGCCACAGTTCTCTGCATGGCTGGACACATTGAGCTGAAATTGAGTTTATCTTCAGCTTTTTGGTAAGGTTTTCACCATGGGTTTTGACATTATTGTTACACGTGGTCCACAGAGGTAGTCTCTACTTTGGGTATGTAACAAGACGAAGCTTGCCGCTTTTAATTTTGCAGTGTTAGTGATGCATCAATTAAAGCCTGTCATACAACAATAAAGGGATACTAAAATGTTCATTAGTGCTTATTATATTGGGCGACTCCTTGACTGGGGAGCAAGTCAGTTAATTTCTTATTTTATTTTTATTTTTTAATATGCAAATGAAAAGTACTGTCAAATGAAATGTGCAGATTGTCAGTTCCAGAATTTAACCATTTTGAAAAATCTTCATAGACACTTGCTAAACAAACTTTCCTGCAAGCTTGTTCCTGCAGCTTCTTCACACACAATAAGTTTTATTTATATACACTCAAGGGATTATCTACACCTTAACTTGGCCAATGTGAAGGAAAAGCTCGGCTGTACTTGTAATGTTTTTCCAGAAATGTTTTTCTAACGATTGTCACATTGCAGACATAGATTTCCACATCTCCTTTGTCCTTAAAAATGTGTTCTGCTTTCTTTTTTGCTCTTGGGATACGTTTTGTTTTTCCACTATGTTGAAGAGTCTTAATCTAATGACATGTACTCATGGTTAACAAGACTTTCACATGCAGAGCAGTGGTTTGAATCACAGGATTAATGTATAATTTGCAAAGATCCACACGTCGCATGTTCCGCTTGGAGAGCCAACCTTTGTTTTGTGTCAAAACAGACAATGATTGTTCCATTAAAAACAGGAAGACAAAAGCTGTTACCCCCCCGAGGAAATGTCAGTTTTGCTTTTGTGATTTAAAATTTCCTATTCATCTTTGGAGGTGACCTAATTTTACAGTGTTTATAGGGATTTTTCCTTTTTGTTCAATCCTGTTTCTACAGTATTCCTTACTGTCTAGCTAGCAGACTTCTGAGATTAGTGTCACATTTTAGGCCCTAAAATTGGCCTAGAAAACATTTGGTATATATAATATTTTCAAAAGTTAAGAGATAATGGCTTTGGTTTTGCTTTGCTTGCACTTTATTGCCAAGGTAATGCAAATCCATTTATTTAATGTAACTGTTTTTGTCCTTTGAATACCCACAATGCTTAGTGGTCATGTTGTGGTGCACACGGCCCCAACGACTGGAACCTCAACATGTACTTCAACTGCACAGAGCTGAACCCCAGCAGGGAGCGATGTGGAGTCCCCTTCTCCTGCTGCGTCAAGGACCCGGCGGTGAGCTGATGGTGGGGGGAGCGGTCTGTCTTCATCTAGACTTGTCGTCGTCTTCCTCATTATGGGTTTGCTTTCCCTAAGTGTGATTTTTCTTCCCAATTTTGTTTTAGGAGGATGTTCTTAACACGCAGTGTGGCTACGACGTCCGCCTTCAGGGGGTCAGTTGCCGCCTTTGTGATGAGTCACACAATCGGCAATTATTAGTAAATAAAAGCCAATTATAAATGCAGTGGTTTTTCATGTTTGATATTTCATTCAAAAATGCCTGTATTTATCGACATGATGCAGACCAAGAAGAGTTTTAAAGAATATTTCGACGGCAAAGGTTAAGATGTTACATACGTGTATGATGGGAACCATGAGCACATGCACCTTGCGTATTTAGGCTTCTCACTGCTGATGTTGCTGTTGTGTAGCTGTGTCTTATTGGGCGTTCAGCGCGGAGAGAATGCTCAGCTTTCCCTTCTTTTTGATCCCAGCTCAGATGCACTGGGTTTATTTCCAGTGGTAGTGATTAGGTTGCTGTTTTAAGCCTGGGAGAGACGGTCTGTAATTGCCGTTTCAGCTGGTTTTAACCAGGGCTGTGGGTGTGGCGAGAGAGACGGAGAGAGTGTAAAACTGAACAGCATGGAGTCCAATAAGCCAGCAGCGCTTCGCTTCCTGTGCGCAGCGTTAGCCTATCGACAAGCACTGGCTTGTTAACTTGGATCCGTGTGGGTTTTCTTAACATGACTCTGCAAGCCTGTAGCATAATTACGACTGTGGTTCTTTATATTATCAAGCTGTAAATGTGAATTTTAACATGAAATGACAATGATTGGCTCGTGTTTTGTGGGGGCGGGGGCGTCCTGGAGTGTTATTGCCGAGTAGGCGGGCCACAAGTGGTGGCCGACTCTCTGCTTATTAATCCATACCTAGAAGTTTTAGTTCAGCTTCAAGCAGGTGTTTTTTTCTCCTTTTAATTAGAAGGATGTAGTTGTTTCCAGGGGAAAGATCGCTTGGGTGGGGTCACCCGGCTTGGGGGTGGGGCTTAAAATCTGCTCCCACGCCCTTCCGCTGAACCGGCTGGCGAGAAACTGGGATTTCAATAGTAATGGTCCTCTCTGTTGTTTCTTATCTGAGGGAGCTGAAAGATTCCCTTGGTGCGGTTCCACGCAAACAAAAGGGGCTTCCAGAGGGGGGGGTGTGCCACCGGAGCCACCCTCCCCCCCTTCACTCCAGCACTGCTGTTGGGGTCAGCCTCCTTATTGAACCGGCACCTCCATGGCGTCAGCTGTGACCATAATAAAGCCAGCCCCTGTGATGGCTGTTTCTCTAGTGTGGCCTTTTTTCTTTCCGTGTCCATAACAGTAACTCCCAGGTTCCAGGAGGGAGGACATTTTGTATTTAAAGAGATAGTGAACCAATTACAGGGAATGCTGATTCTCGCTGTGATTTTTTATTTTAAGAGGGACAGTATTGCTGCTTTCCCTGCAGATTGCATCACCTTTAATGAGCCATGTGTGTATATTTGTCTCTTGCCTATTCATTATTTTTTTTTTCTTTTACAGGAACTTGACCAGCAGAGATATATTTACACCAAGGGCTGTGTGGGTCAGTTTGAGAAGTGGCTTCAGGACAATCTGATCGTTGTGGCTGGGATTTTTGTCGGAATTGCACTATTACAGGTGAGGCTCTGCGTCCGGCAGCCACCTGGACTCCTGCAGCCCCTGTTAAGTTGTTTATACCTTGTTCCTTCTTTTGACGTGGCTCATAATTGTTTTCCTTGGCAAAGGCTGCCATCTACTGGTTTGCAGCTGTATTTTAATCTTGGATTATTTTTGGTCAGTGAATGTGATTTAAAGAGGAGAAATCTTTCTTTCGGAAATGTATTCAGTTTATTAAAAAAATGTGAGGGAAGGGCATTGGTTCTTCATGGAAGTATGATTGGTGCAAACGGAAATGGGATTTGGATCTCTGATGCCTTGGAGTCTTGTGTGTTTTTCTGTGTAGATATTTGGAATCTGCTTGGCTCAAAACCTGGTCAGTGACGTCAGAGCGGTAAAAGCTAATTGGTGACGTTGAGCTAACAAGGAGAGCCACCTGCACACCCAGCCGGGCCCCTGTCAGGTGACACAAACCTGGACTGAAGCATGGAACGGCACCAGCAAGGGGTCTTGGACAATGGGAGCGTCTATTGATGGACTGATGTTAGCTGATTGTAGAGGTTGTTGGCTTCTGCTTTGGTTAGCCCTCCTCTGTTTCGGTGCTTCGTCAAATGATTTAGTCACGGCATCGCAGAACCCTCACCCTGGGAGAAGCTCATACCATTGTAATATGATGTTCTGCTGAGGTGGGGAGTGGACGTTGTGGTTTTTTGGTGTCTTGTGATATCCTTTAATATTTTATAAAGAGTTGAGCAACAGCACACAGCAGCTTTAGAGGTGAAGCCACCGTCTTGCATTCCGCGGACTTTTGCATCCAGCCACGGACTGAACCATCTTCGCGATGTCGTCAGATCCAACCTTCTGAGATCACCCCCCATCAATATCTGTTCAGTTTTTTTGTTTTTTTTTTTATTTGGACCGAACCCCATGTCTGTCAGCTCTCCGGAAGATTAAAAAGCTCAGAAAGGCTGCATTCTTCTGAATGGACCTGAGGCTGAATAACCCTTAAAGATATGAACCATGGACCAGTCAGCAAGTGATGTGCTGCTCAGAATTTCAGGCATCTCTCCTATAACCGTGAATAGCAGCGGTTCTTAGTGCTGCTGGGAAATAGTTTGAAACAAAATGAACCGTCACAGAATGAAGGTGGACTTCAAGATATATATAAATTAGTATTTTTATTCCTTTTTTGGTCGAAGACTAGAACTAGTAATTACTGTTTATCCCTTTTTAAGGAGTTGCAGCACTTTGCAAGGGTCTCACTCTCAGTGACACCCTTTGAATGGGAACTGCCGTGACAACCTGTAATTTCGGGCAGATTTGGTAAGAGCTCTGCCGTAATGGCTGCCCGAACGTGGCCTATTTTCTGCAAGCACAAGTGCCCTGTTCTGGTCCAGCTTCGGGGGCCGACTGACAAGCCAGGCACCATTCGACGTGCCATCGCTGCTTAGAAAGATTACATTCTGGCCACCTTTTTTAATTTTTAATGGAATCTTTGATCTCGTTTAAGGTTTCAACGACCGAAAGTTAACCGAGTCACTAGAGCCACTGGCCTTTTTTAAAGAATGTAACAGGATGTCTATGCTTGTGCTTCCCGTTAAACGCCTTGGTCCTCCTTTCACACTACATGGAGGATGGGTAATGAGGCCTCATCCTCCTAACCTCCTAGAGTTTTATCCAATGCTTCATAATATGAGGCCATCCATAGGACCAGTAACCATGGCAACATTTCGCCTGTCACAGTCAGCAGTCTATGTTCAGTCCTCGTGTTACTTCATATGCAGTATACCAGCTTGCTGGGACCCCGCAATCTCTTTGAGTGGCCTCCCCATTTAAGAGGATAGCCCAGTACCTTTAGGCCAATAACTCCTCCCCCTTTGGTAAAGTGGTTTATATTAAATTTGTAAATGAGAATTGGGGGGGGGGGTAGGAAGGATCCTGATGATAACTTTCCAACTGTGGATGGAATTTGGGCTTAAATGTTGTAGCATTAACACTTATGCAAAGCCACTGACTGTCTGGAGCCCATTCCTGTCTGGATTTCATTTTTATTTTTATGAGTACACCCCATGGCAGTAGATTGTGTATATAATTGTGACAGAGCTCCTATTAGACATGAGAGATAGTAATTTAAAATACTTTTTATTCTGTAATTTTGTGTTTTGTTTACATGACTCGCAGAGGTGTCCTTGAATCAGCCCACGGATGGTTTCCTCTTTGAGAAGGCCCATTGACCCCGTCTGTCTTTTGATTTCCTCACAAGATGTTGCGCATTCTGCAGGGAGGAAGCTCAAAGCAGGAGAATGGCTTTTCCGTTCTCGTCTGTTATGAATGTATAATTATGTACCATAACTATGCTTCCCTGTTTTCATACACATTCCACAAAATAAAAATTCCCTTTCAGCACAGTACCCCTTGACCTAGGGAATAGAAATCTGGTTGTTTGCCTGCTTTCCTTAGAATTCGTCTCATGTGACCATAGAATTGGTACCAGTGCCGTTTTGTCTAACTTAACAAATTTATTTTTGTATAGCACATTATCACAACATTACATCGTCCCAAAGCGCTTTACAGCATCCCCACCCGAAGCCCCCAGTGAATAAGCCATAGCCGACATAAGCAAGCATTGTCACCCCCCTCTTCGCTGATTGCCGTCTTTGAAACCTACAAAAATGTAGGGATGTAGTTAAAAACCACTGAATGCTTTACAGTGATGCTGATGGATACAGTCTCCCACCCCCCGTTGGTGGATTATTTTGTCAGTGTTTTTTTTTCTTTTTCATTTTACTGTTCAATATCTTTAGCTGGGGGTACAATCACAAGCTAATTTGGGAGGTATCCCCTGTTTTAATCATTACCCCCCCCCCTTAGGATATTGATGACAATACAACTCTTTCCTCTTGAGTTATATGTCAGGTCCTCTAATTGTCAGTAAATATACACCTTTAAATACCCACAGAAAGCTTAAAATGGAATTGGTTAGGCCCATATGCTTTTTTTTATTCCATATAGCAAAAAATTAAGAGGAAAACAGATGGAAAAATGTATATCGCTGAAGATGCATTTTTTTCTACCTCATTTTCAAAAATGTTGAGGCAGGTCTACATTGTTTCTGTTGCCTTTCATGCTTCATTGCTTGTTATTAATATTCCAGAGTGGCACCAATTTTAGTCCCTCTGGTGGAATCGCCGTCCCAACATATGAACACATTGCCTGTGTCTTGTCAGGGTCTTCATTTTGCTATGCAAATTGAAGTTTCAGACACATAAGAAAATGGGAATTAAATATTTATCTCACCAAACAACAAATAGTGGGGACATTTCTTTTTCTTATTTCTGGGTCTATTACTGCAGCAGAAAACCAATCCTTTGCTCACAGTTGAAGTTAAGGTCATTTCCTGGTAAGGACCGTCATAAAGCACGTGCCCTGCTCTCCTGGTGACTTGAGAATCGCATTGCAAATTCATAAGGCTTCACAGACGTGGATCATATATGAATATTTTATGTCACAGTTTTAAATTGTACTGTAACAATTCCTAATATGAAACTTATTAACAGTGCACCTCATTGACCATTATGGTTTATAGTAACTATAACAATTTTTGTTGTATTTATAACTTAAAGTATATGGTGGAGGCCATGTACTCTAAGGCTGCTATAGCCTTCTGACATTCCACTAATTCTACAGAGATCCTAAGACTATAAGCTCTTGGTATCTTACAAAACACTACAGATTGATTGTTGTGTATTTCACTCCCCCTCATTTGTGTCGGCAAGGACGGCACTTTTAGTGGTATGTGGGCATTGTGTGGTTAATCTGCGCTGGCATTTACATTTTCAAGTAATTTGTAAATCATTGTTTCTTTTAAAGCTGAATTGGTCTTTCACTTCAGCTTGATGGTTTAGTACCCTGTTCTTTTCTAAACCTCAGACACAAATAATGACATGTTAACACTGCAAATTTACTTCTCTGAGTCGTTATATAATTACATACGTGTGTTTTAGTATGGGATAGTTATCACCAAAAATAGCAGCTCTTACACCTCTTGTACTTTCTTACTAATCCACATTTAAAATTCTTTAATTTTTAAGTTTTCAAAAAACATTTCTACCCCATTCATGGTGGGTGGTGGTACCCCAGCAAATTCTGTACATTTTTGTCTTTTAGGTGATTTGTATATATATTTTTTAATCGGGACAACAGAATACACAGAAATATTAGTTTTAGAAATGAACTACCATTCTATTAGTCTGCATTGTTTCCTTTATTTTAAACGGCTTCTTTGAAAGGTTAGAATTGTGTAGAAACGATGAAATTGGTTTGATTGTTGCATATGGTCTGTTACACTGTATATTGTCTTACAAATATGCTTTTTCATAAATAAAATGATTTATGACAAGAATGTGACTTCAGCTTTTCCCATTGGTCATCGTAAGTTTTAAGATGGGAGGGTGGTTTACGTCTGTTAAACGGGCTGTTTTTTCTCTGTTATCCGTTTTAGCCGCCAGGGGGCACCATTTACAATCACATGGCTTTTATTGACGCTGCCGCTTGACCTGAGAACTGACTAGTGGCTGCTGTTTAATAGACCAAAGGAGATCTTTTCTCCTGTTTCTCAGGGTTGATGGGGCATGTCCATTGCTATTCATAGGCACATGCTTGATTGACAGCTGACATTCTTCTTTAGCATGTATGCCAGACTATGGCAAGGCAGCCTAGTTGGAGACAAGGGGGTTGGAGTGGACAAGACATTTTTCTTATTAATATTATGTTTTTTTAGTAAATTACGTGTATACTGCCAAGGGTATACACCAGCCTCATGCCTTTTGTCGCTTGAAATAGGCTCCTGTTCTACCCTCCGATCCTGAACAGCATGTTACATGTGCTTTGAAGATGGAGAAATTCATTAGAAATGGCCCATGAATGTACGCAGAGTAATTCTGGTGACTAACCCAAGAGCTGTTTCCCACAAAATAATGAAAATGTAAAGAAGTTTGCAGGTTTTTTTTTTTTAGCAGAAATCCTTTCACGAAATGTTAAGATGAGAGCTGCTGCTGTCCGAGTTGTTTTTCTAATATTTGTGAAAGACCCTACATCCAGTTTTATTAAGATTTTGAAAAATAAAACCAGCCGCCTAGAAGGTGGTGAACTGCCAAAAATAAGTGATGCGATTTGTGTGGCAGTGAGTATGAGTGACAGGTACATTTAGTAGGTGTTAAATGAGCTAATTTCCTCATTTACATTCTCCCTGCACAGTAGGCCTAATTCAGATTCTGCGTACATTAATTTTGTTTTACTTGTTTTTGATAGTACTTTTTTGATATTGTAAAATCATCTGGTAACTGAGGTTTTGAATAATTTCATAATGCTATTTTTTTACAATTCTTAGGTGGGGATATATAAGGTTTTCAGGATCTGATATTTGTGCAAATGTACAAAAAATGGTGCTAGTGAAAAATGTAAGTACAAATGATTTAAGTACAAGATTGTGAGGGCTGTTGTCCATAGTGATTGAGGACCATGTTGCTTAAAGGTCTGTACTGCAGTTTGAGAGATTTTGACCTTGCAGAATGGATGTGAAAGATAGCCTGGTTATACTGGACAAATAACATCTTTCAGTTAGTGCCAATTAAGTATATCCATAGGATATGCAACTGCATAAGACAGTCATGGCTTTTCGCTAATGGTTCTCTAAAATTATTCACTCAGTGAACTTGGTGACACATCACTGTGCACTGAACAAATGGAACAAATTATGAGAAATTAACAAAAACATAGTGGGAATATATTGTGGAATTGAAGCAATGCATTGGAAGGGAATTAAGGAACATCTGGGAACCGGTTATGGAACTGAGCAGCAGAAAAGCAAGAGGGTAAGACACATTAGCCGATAAGGGGGGGCTGTTTGTGTTAATAAGGCTACATCACCAAGACACAGACTAGACCAAGGTGGACAAGGTGTTTTGTGTAGAAAGGACACATCATACAAATCTGCGAATGTTGGCAGAAGGAGGAGGAAAAGTCTTGATTGACCCTTTTGATCTTTGGTGGAAGGCGGGAGTGGGGAGAGTGGCTGGGCTCAGATATTGAGGTCAAAAGAGGGCGACGAAGGAGCAGAAACCAATATCTGAGAATCGCGATGTGGAAAGCAGAGAAATAACTGTGAAAGGTCAGTATTAGCATTAGAAGATAAGTAACATGAAAGTAAGGCAGAGACAAGGGCCTAAAAGTGGAACTTCTGAGGCGGTCCAGTTGGGAGAGAGTCAGGAAGAGCTGCATTTCTCAGGAGACCTGACATGTGTCAGGAACACAAAGCCTGAGAAGCACCAGAGACTCTGCTCAAGAGTTGAGTGACCTTCTATATCAAACTCAGCAGATCAATAAGAATCATGACAGGGGATGTGGCTGAGTGAAGCTCAGCCTTCTGTGTCGTCTCTCAGTCTGCGTGACTGGAGACTTGAGTGAAAAGTGCAGGAGAGCTAGATGAACGATGGCGCTGAACTGGGCAGGGCAGGCAAGAAAAGCTATAAAACTTTTTTTTTTTTTTTTTCCTGAATATCATGGTAGTATTTCTGAAGCAGAGAAGCTGCAGTTAAGGAAATGTACAGAAGCAGTTAATATGAGAGATGAGATGCTCAGAATTCTGTGAAGTTGCTCTCTAGTTGTTAAGGTGGCTGCTGAGGGCCTCATTTCACTGTTTTTTTGTGTGAATGACTTCACTAGACCTATAGATGTGCTTCACTAATTCCAGCTATTATTTGTTAAAATTTAGGAATCGGCTTCCCAGGCCTAAATCCGAGTTATCAGCCACTGTCAAGGAGGCAGGTAGCATTGAGATTGACTTGTCCCCCGAAGGGACACTGCGGTAAGCGGTGGGAAACGTGGCTCTGCTGCTCCAGTATAATAAAGTGGGGGGGGGGGAGAAAACGTGGTACGCAGCTGAAATGTAATAATCTGAAATAGTCAAATAGTGATGTTTAATGAGAAGTGATGATGTTTTTGTGCGTGATTGCTGCAGTTTTTCAAAACATGATATACAGATCTGACCTTGAGAGGTTGATTAGAGACCATAAAATTAAAAATTTGAAATAACAAGGACAAGGGTGGCAACCAATAAGCAGGTATTGTACGAGACAGTGAGGAACCTCTGTTTTTCCGCTTAGCACATTTACATATTCAGCATCTGCTGCTGTACATTAACCTGACTTGAAACCTAGCAACCAGCCAACAGCAATTGCTAAGGGTCTGAATGATACAAATGAGAGTCCGGCTGCTACCACATGTAGAATTGCAATGTGTGTCGCGATAAATATTTTAACAGCATGCCGTCAACCATCTGCTAAACCTGCAACTTAACAATTGGTGATTATCCAGTTAATACAATGTTATGAGAGCAAGTGGATTTGGAGGTCTGCAGGAATTTCGTATGATTAATTTTAAGGTTATTAACAGGTATCGGTGCATTGTGATTGTAGATGGTGTCTAGATCGCTGCATTTGTTATACTGCAGACCAAGTCACAGCACTTTGGGACTTATGGCCAGAAGTGTAAGCAGGTGGTGAAGAAGAAAACGGTCCACAGCGGAAGGATGAAAATGCTGTTTATGTGCATGGAAAATTCTGAGCTGCTACCCTGTGGTAGATAAGCATTTATGAATAATGCAGTGAACAAGATTAGTGTGTTCTGTTTCAGGTTTATGCACCAAGCAAGTTTATGTGCACAAAAATTAGTACAGTCCCACTTTGCCAGTAGACCAGTAATAAATACTGAGAAGTACTGTCTAAATATTGTAGTAAATACTGAAGCAGAAAAGTGTTTTGCATTAGATTGTTTGATATGCTCCCTGTCCTTCAAGAATAATCTTCAGCAGCGTTATTTGTCTCCAAGACTCAGACATTTCCTTGTACTTCGGTTAGAGTTTATATTACCATCATAATCAATCTGGCATCAAAGTACTTTCTTTAAAATTAAATGCACATGTTTGCATATGAAAGCCAAAACGGACGTATCTCATCCCCTACTGCTGAAATGTAAATGACGATACTAGGTACCCGTCCGATTGCTGCTGCGTTTTAGCTTTGTGCTGTAATGTTGGAATATAAATTACTTAGGTCAATAATAGCTGAACCAAAGGACAGCTTTTGATCGGTATGCTAGATGTGTCCCTTATCTTTTGTGTATTTACATCATTGCTATATTCTCATAACTCGCTTTGACGTTTTGGTTCATGTGAACCTTAAACAATGTGACACTCGTGTGCCTTACTTTGAAGATTAAAAGAAGCAGCCTGTATGGCTGTACTTGATGTAATTGACAGTAACATGTTTTTTAAAGGCCATGTCTTAATACATTAAATAGAAATGTGTCACTATGTAATTTATTTACCATCCATCCATCTCCCATAACCACGTATCGAGCAGAGTAACAGTTAGTTGAACCTTATTCCTGGAACAAGGTCATCTATCTGTCTACATTACTCACAGAAAGTCTTGGGACGCTTGCTTAATTCTATAAACATGTTGCAAATTTATTCGTTTCACGACACAAGTCCATTGACAAGCAATGTTTAACATATCTGCAAATATCATCCACACAGACATTTTCTTTTTAAGTGTCAGAATTTTTTTTGACTCATTTGGTTCTGTTCTTGCCATTTTGCTGTCGATTGCAGTTGTAGTGATTGGCTGCCAAAGGAATACTAAATGCACATTTGGCATTTTATGTCATTGCAAAGGTTTTTTTGTAAACAAATAAATAAAGTAATGATTTTTGTTATAAAGCCATTAAATCTGCAATATTTTTACTCAAGCAGCGGTACCAAAGCTTCCTATGAGCATTCTGGTTGTCTGGCAGTCATGATTTTACCCTGCTGTCCTACAAAAACAGCACTGAAATATTAGCACCTACTGGTTATCTGTCTGTCTGTCTGTCTGTCTGTTCCTTCATTTGTTTGTTTTTTGCCAGCTGGGTATGGTGTTCTCTGCAACTAGTAAGAACTCTGCTACTATTATGGACTATTAAGGAATACTGGGACAAAAAAAACATCCTGTACTAACAGACGTGGATGGATTGTATGAATGATGCAGGCATTCATATGTCATAGTTTTGTTTCTCAGTTCTGGATGGAGTGCAAGATGCCATGAAGAAATATTTCACATTTTTGTTATGCAGATTTCCGGATTACTGACTCGCTACTCAGACCACATTCGGCATATGTGGATATCTCGGTAATTCCTCAGCCAAATGTTTATTTTATGTACAATTCCTTCTCAGTAGAGCGAGAGAGAGAGGTTGTGTCCGTTGAGCTTGGTATGATGTCACATTTTTGCGTCACCTAACTGGAGGGGGGCACCCTTCACATGACAAATTTCAGTCATTTTCATTTTCACGTGGTTGAAAAAA